TTCTGCCCTGATCAGAAAATGATCCGTCCATGACAGGGCGGAGGTGTTGAGACATTTAGATGCAACCTTAGTGTACAAGTGCTCTGAGAGTGCTACCTTAAGTTAGCTTATGCATTCGTAGAGGGCAAAACCTAGTTTTTTGTATATTGGTCTGTGGGGTAACGCGTATATTGACAGTGTTCTTATTCTTTCGAACACATGCAGACGTGTACCATGCACACAACAGTAAACAGTCTTCAATTTCTAGAGGTTCATAATTCAAAGATTCTGTTTTAGTGACAATTAATTAAGGTATGTGCAATATATATTCAAAAAGACAACTTTTACGTTTGCTGTTTGGCTATATTTGTGGGATTTTATTTCATTTACTGACTCCCCTGTTCATTCTGTATTACAGCTCCTGAAGTGCTTGCCCAGAAACCCTACAGCAAAGCAGTGGACTGTTGGTCCATTGGAGTTATTGCATATATCCTGTAAGTACTACCAAAAAAAGTTCATGTTACTTGATTTCATGAATAATCTTAAATATTATCACACTGGCTTTGAATGATGTGCCTAACTGGATGGCTGAGAGAGGTATTCTAGCATTCCTAAAAGTTCAATACACTTTTCCAGAGAATATCAATGAAATTCAAATTTCAGACATTTCAGACATAGATTAGGCAACCACACACCACTTGCCAAACCTTGCAAAGCCAACACAATTGAAACCTGTAGGGATTACATTTGGGGCACTGATTTATTTAAATTGCTGCAACCACCACCACCCCATGCACACCATTTCTGCTTCTGTTTCTTAGCTGTGAAAAAAGCATAGTGCTTCTCTGCTGCTTTTTTCCACTCGTAACCTGAATTTAACCAGCCGGAGACAGTGAAGTGAGCAAGGCTACAGCACTGCATAGTCACTGAGGGCAAGAGAAGTAATGTTGCCCTCACTAAAGTACTCAGTAGCACATTCATTGACATGTCACACTGTAAAATATGATTAAGGCTATTACTTAAATCAGTTTTTGAAAGATTGAGCAAGTTCACAGTACATGTGTTCTCAGATGCTGCAAGCCATGACAAGAAAGTGGATCCTCCTTGTGCAGAGGTAGGGTACCTATGGATTTTAGGTGCTCACAAAAATCGGCTGGGAGGAGACTTCACCTGAGCTCGGTGGAGTAGATCCTAGTGGACAATCTGTTCTTCTAATACTCAGGTGTCCATTTTTATAGAGAGAGCAAACTTCAATTCAATTTCTGAGAATTGAATAGCCCCTAAAGAAAGCCAATTGGTAATAAGGCCTAAACTCATTGGGCTTTTTAAGAAATAAAATGTTCTGACTATCGTATAATATGCGGAACATTGGGTGCATCTACTCTGTAGAAATAATTCAGTTTGACACCCCTTTTAATTGCTAAGGCTCCATTCTACAGAAAACCTGGGATTTGTAGTTTTATAAGGCACCAACAGTCTTTGGCAAAGAAGGCTAAAGGTTTTTTTTAGCTATATATGCCAGGATTCCATAGGATGGAGCTACAGCACTTCAAGTGGTGTCAAACTGCATTATGTCTACAGTGCAGATGCACTCT